AAAGCTGAAGGTTGAGAAGGCAATAGTGACCATCTCAGAGCTACTCAGTTCAAACTGTCCCAGGAAGTAGCACATCTGTTCTATTCCTGCACCTGCCTGGGCTTCTCCTGTGGATGTGGGTGTTTGTTTAAAGCACATACCTGCAGCTGCCTTTGGAGTCTCGTGGGCCATGGCGCCTGTCTCTGGCTGAGTTGCCCTCTGGGCCAGCACACAGACATGAGAAGAAGGCTGCAGTAAGCTTGCTCTCCACCACGCCCTAGCCTCCAAGAGGAGTCTTAGCATGACGTCACATTTCCTGCCTGCCTCTCCCCACCTGCTTCCTTCTCACCATCAGAATCTCAGCTTCACCTACTGCATACTAGGCATTCTGTGGGGGTTTTGCTGGTTGAAGAAGCGTGAAGGGAACCATAAGAGAGTCCCTGGAATGTACGTACAGCAGTCTCCTGCCCACCTCTCAGCCTCCAGCTCCCACTTGCTGTCATAAGGAGGAAAAGCTGCTTCCTGGAACCGTTATGGGAGCCCAAACCCCGTGCTGGCGGCAGAAGCAGGCCAGGCCGGCAGTAAAGTTTCCAGAACCCCAGGGGAGAGGCATTCCCCAACCAGGTGCTGGGAGAGACTGTGGCTTCCAACCTTGCTGGCCCGAGGCCAGACCTGCCAGGCCTCCCTCCACCCTCCGGCTCCTTCCCATCGTCCTTCCAACCAGAAGCTTGTTAACCGCTTTCCTGTGCTTTTATTCGGATTTCAAGGCGCCCTCTGTGTGTTAAACTTCAAAGAAAGTTGGCTGCGGTGAGTGCGAAGCTACAAGTGGAAGCTCCGAACGGCTGCCTCCGTTGAAAAACGGTTTTGTTCAAACGAAGGGGGCTGGGAACCGCCCCTCTCCCTCCTTCCCCCTCCCCCCGTCCTTCCAATGAAATTGCATTTGTGCCTGGATCAGGTTGCCCGGTATCAATCCTGAAACTTTTAAAGATGAAAAGCAGAGCCAGCCGCACCATATTTAAAATGTGCAATGATTACGGCATGGCACCGGGCCAGTGTTTATGAATCATTGAATATGATCATAAAATCATAAAAAATAATCACCAAAAGGTAAATAAATTACCCAGCTCGCTGCTGATTTTCACGGAGGGGCTGACACGAACGCCGCCGCCATGAATGATTTATACCCGTTTTAACAATGACGCTCATTTTACTGAAAGATGGTCAGCACTCGGGCTGCCGTGGGCCGCGTGCCAGTTGGCGAAAGGTTAATGTTTCAGCAGCAATACATTAAATTATGAATAATCCCGGTCCCAAAATGGAAGGTTATTAGCTCAGGATGCTTAATTAGCCCGGCTAGAAGTTGGCCATCCCGGAGCCGTGCCCATTACCGCGGCCCCGTGACCAGGGGGGATGGCCGCGTCGGGATGCCAGTGCTGTGGAGGGGGCAAGTGGAGGCAGGAGCGGGGTGGGGTGTGTCCTCTCCTTTCTTTCCATCCAGTGTAACGTGACCGGAGCACCTCCGAAGCTGGTTTTCTGGATGGTGAACTCTCCCGTGGTTTCTCCGTGAAGACTTCCCAGAAAGAAATCGCAGATGCTGAAACCGGTTTGGCTCAATGGATAGAGCGTCGGCCTGCGGACTGAAAGATCCCGGGTTCGATTCCGGTCAAGGGCATGTACCTTGGTTGCAGGCACATCCCCAGTAGGGGGTGTGCAAGAGGCGACTGATCGATGATTCTCTCTCATCAATATTTCTAACTCTCTATCCCTCTCTCTTCCTCTCTGTAAAAAATCAATAAAATATATTTTTTTTAAAAAAAAAAGAAAGAAAGAAAGAAAGAAAGAAAGAAAGAAAGAAAGAAAGAAAGAAAGGAAACATTCCTTTAAAAAAAAAATCGCAGAAATGACTTGGGAGGGGAGGGCATGATGCCTGGTGTTATTGACCCGCCGCGATCTGCTTCCACCTTTGCTGGGTACTTCCCGGCTGGGGACCGACCATAGGAACAGAGGGTCCCCCTCACGTCCAGGCCGGCCCCCCAGCACGCATCCACCGCCGCCGATCATTGAACAGCTACTAGGAACCAGCTACATACAAAGTGTTTAACCAGTGGTTTTGTGGTCTCAGGGAGGGGGCAGCCCTTCAGCAGCCACGTGACTGCTGGGAAGGGCGGTGCAGGCCACCAGCACCGCCCTGGAGTCGGGAAGGGGGTCTCGGAGAGGGCTTCCCTGAAGGGAGTGCATTGGCTCTGATCTCTGCAGGGTGAGCAGGAAGTGGCTAGCCGCTAGATGAACCTCCAGGAAAAACTCCGGGCAGGGAAGAGCTAAATCGTGTGCCCGAGCCTCCAGAAAGAATGATGTTAGAGAAAGAGGTTGTTGCCCGGGGTCGTTGCCAGCTAACGGGCTTCCTTTCATTGGGAGAGCATTTGCCTGCCAGGGCCATAGGAGTGCCACTGAGCACCTAGATTGTATGGGTATGTGTATTTGTGTGTGCATGTGTGTGTGTGTGTGTGTGTGCACATATGTGTGTGTCCGCACCTGGCCCCACAACCACCCCCTTCCCTCCCACCATCCTGGGTGGCTCCAGCTTAAAACTCCCAAGTTTGCAGCCAGGAGCAGGGCCCGGACCCGCCCAGGCCACGCCGGCTGCATCCCGCTGTCTGCACCACCGCCCAGCTCTACTTAGTACTATTAGTAGCTTGTTTTTCTAAGCCCTAAAATTCATTTTCTTTTCCCGCCTTGCTTCCAGAAAAATAAATAAAAGTGAGCACATCACTCATTTAAGACGAGGAATGGAATTTAGGTTGCGTTTTTCTTTCTATTTTTATGATTAGTTAGAATTTTCCTGGGAACGCGGCCAGGAGGGCATTATGGTGAGATAATGTCCTGTATTTAATCAGCGCTGCAATGGCGAGCCGAGCTCTGCGGGGAGCGGCCGAGTTAACGCATCCTCCTCCGCCTTGTCTCTTTCCAGGGTGCCACGGGTGAGCCCAAGATGAAGACCAGGCCGAGAGGGGGCAGGGCTCCAGGCTCGAGGGATGGCCCGCGGGTGGACAGCGTGCAGCCGTGACCCGCTCCCCTCACGCAGGACCCATCCATCCGCTCTGGGCACCCTGCGACCCCCAAAGGAGCTGAGTGACAAGGGCCCCCCCAAACGGACCCAACTGACCCACCCTGGTCTTGCACCCAGCGGACACTTCTGGCGTCTTCCTCTGCAGCCTGCGGACGTCTGTTGGCCTGGACCCACTTCCCGCTTTCAAACGTGCATCCCTCTCCTTTGCAACCCAAACGCAATGTGTGCAGCTTCTAAGTGAGCCCGGAAGTCAGCAACAGGTAGGACCAGATCTGCTCCTTCCCTCCGCGTGCGTGTGGCCCGTCCAGAGGCCCCCAGAGCCTCTGCAGGAGGTGACAGCTGGTGCTTTGCAGGCTTCACAGTTGTTCTTGTTTCCCCGAGTTGGTTGACCCATCGCTGAAGAATGAGGGTGCCTGGCAGGGTACAATGGAGAAGGGTATCTTGGAGAGATGTCTGCGAGAGATGTCTGAAAGGAAGGAAGAAAATGAGGCGCGCGGGGGAGGGGAGGGGGAAGGGGAAGGGATTTAACCTGGAGGAGGGGGCGGAGAATAGGTGTGTGGACGGACACAGACTGACCTTTGTCTGCAGTTAGCATGGTGGCCAGGAAAACGGGAGCCTGTGGGGCCCACAGAGCCGCTCCCATTTACCGTTGTCCCTATTAAACTCTGGGTCTGCGGGCGCCGGCCGCGCAGGTGAGGGCAGTGGAGAGAACAGGATGCCCTGAGAAACCTATAAATAGCGGGGCGAAGACAACGTGTTTACTGCCTAGCCCCGTGAAGCCCGTATACGCGCTCCCCCCAGGGTGCGGGAGAGCCAGAGCGTGTGTGCGCGCCGGCCCGCGCGTGTCCGGGAGCAGGCGTCCCAGAGCCGCTGTTCGCGCTTGGCTGGATCCTATGAAGGCGGCTATTTGACGGGACGGACTGGAGCAGTTCATAGCCAGCCCTGCAAACCTTGTGTGGAGACAGAGCTTTCTTTTTCTCTTCCCTTTTCCTGTTCGCAGGGAGAATGAGGCCTTTCTCTTCTCGGCCCTTTGCTCTCCCCAAAGTTGTCTCACGAGGTCATTGCCAGCTGACAGGCTTCCTTTCAGTGCAAGGTTTGGATGGCAACAATGTTCTGTTTTTTAGGGGAGGGCTGGGAAGGCTCCGGGCCTATGCCTGCCCTAAATGTAAATGGGTTATTGTTTGATCAGGGCTGTCAGTTTCTGCAGACAATTCCGTCTGTGTGAGGGAAGGCTCCTTTTTGTGGGTGGGTGTGCGTCTGTGTTACCATATATACACAGACCGTTGATAACCAAGCTGCAGAAAGGTGGTGTAAGGTCATTGTGTTTGGTTTCCGGCCACATTGGACCACTCTCCGGCTGTGTGTCCTTGGGCAAGTTGCTTACCCACCCCAGCCGGGCCTCTCAGCATCCTAGTTCAGAGCAGCCTGCCTATAAGGTATCCTCTAGCTCGAACATTCCTTAACTCTGTGATTGCAAGATATTAACATTACCATGTTTGACTACGAGCTTAAAAGCACTTGGTTTGAATAGCTTCTATGTCTACAGAACCGATTTCTAACAGCTGTCGGGAATGTGTGCTGACGATTCTGTTGAATCTCTCGAGAAGATTGAATTTATTGGTTTGTGAAGGCACATGGAAAATAGACGCTATCTATGTTGTCAAGTTCTAGGGCCCTGAAAAATCCTTATCGATGTACAGAGAGGCCGGATTATTATGATCTCTGAATGCATAATAATCTGGCCACTCAGAGTGTGTGTGTGTGTGTGTGTGTGTGTGTGTGTGTATCAGAGGACCGGTGCATGAATTCATGCATGGGAGGTTGGCCAGCTGGCCTGCTGGTTGAACTCCTGGTGGAGGGGACAATTTGCATATTAGCCTTTTATTGTATAGGATATACACTGAGTGGACAGATTATTATGCCTTCAGAGATCATAATAATCTGGCCGCTCAATGTATTCCAGGGTGTCGGCTACAATAACCTTCGTCAGCAGTGGGTACTAGTTTGAGAACTAAGAAGCACTTTCAAAAGCTATGCATGGGGAGTTTCTAAATGAGGTCCCAGCTCTGCAAACTCTTTCATCTGATGAGGAAGGCAAATAGAGAAAAGCAATTCGCCAAAAACGGAGGTGGACAGTTTTTGATCATTTTTAATAATGACAAGATACAATAATATCACATTTCCGAGGCCTCCAAGGAAAGTGGTAGGAGTGTGACAAGACTTAGCAAGGCCCGGCCGCTGGGCTTTGAGGCAGCCTCTGGCACAGCCGACCTCTGGCTGTGCTGGTGGCTCTGCAGAAGCGTGGCCAGCACAGATCGGCGTGCTGGCCTTCCAGGAGGGTAAGTCTCCGGCGAGGCCAAGAAAGAGGGATTCCCGGGGGTCCTGCCAGTGATTGCCGTGGGAATTACATCCCTGCCACCACTGAACTGCCATGGCCAACCGCTCTGTAGCTCTCCCCGAGGTGGTCTCCCCCAAACTGGCGAGCTAAAATCCTTTTGGGAAGTCTGGCACTGCTGTCTGCCTGGCTGGTGGTCTCACTGCTTCTTTAGCCTCGCTACCCACCTCTTTCCTCCTTTCCCTCTGCAAACACTCATTGAAGGTATACTATGTGGCAGGTTCTGTGTGGGCACATGGTACTCATATGCTCAAACAAAGGGTTCCAGGGCTCAAAGTACCTTCAGTGTCATGAGAGAAATAATTACTAGAAAAATAATTGCCCATATATTTATGTGCACTGAACTTGGCAGGCAAGGGGTTCTCAAGGAGACGTTTCAGGTAGCTGTGGATGGAGAGGAGCAAGATGTTCCCAGGAGAGGAACCCCATCCTCGTTGGGAATCATGGGAAGACATTCTGAAGATCAGATGGAGCTGTCTGGGGAGGAATCGAGGCTGCCAATGACGCTCGGTGCCATCAGCCTCAAAGCAAACGCAGTTGGGTTCAGGAATATTTCTTCACCTTAAATCCTATAGACAAATCCCCAGGTCTGAATGTTGGTGAGGGGAATCTCCAAATATTGCTAGCCATTAATAAAAGACTTGATGGTCATTATTAAATGATCAGCCTCTTTGGGTCTGCTGCTGCTGGTTCTCTCTGGCTATCACCCATCCCACCACTCCACTATGGAGATTAAGTGTTATGACCCCCCTTTCAGAACCTATGGAGGGCCAGGGCTCTCCAGTAACTGGCCAGCACCATAGGGATTAGACTATAGAGGTCAGAAGAGCAGTCTTCTTGGGATAAAACAAGCACGTATTTGTAGTTTGTTGTCTGAAACTGATGTCTCAATGGTTGATCTCCTGAGTCTGTGCATTTGACTGCCTTGATCTTCAAGACCTACTTGCTAATGCTCTAAACATCATTTGATTACCTGGACTTGTGGCCCCTCCATCTACCCTGACTTGCCATACCCACCTGGTCCCTACCGCCCTCTGTGAATGTGGAGCGCTAACCCTCACCTCCCCACTCATTCCACCCTGACCTGCCTTACCCAGGTGATTCCTCCTGTATTCTAGGCTAACATGTAATCATGGAGGTGGTGAGTCCAGGTATATGAAATGAAAGAAATTGAAGTCTAACCTGGCTTATAAACTTCTTCTCCCTTATAAGTTTAAATACTTCCTGATCTTTGAACCACATTAAATATCATAATGTGTTCAAATTTGGCAACAGTAACCTTTACTGGAAAGAACCCAGGCTGACATGAGCAACGAGATCTGGTCCATGAAAGAAGATGTACGAATGCCACTTGCTTAGAGAATCCCACGGGATTCTTGTCTGTCACCCCCATTTTTAATTAGAGCTGTAATCATCTCTCAAGGGGAATTTGGAGGCTTCATTAAATCTACTAGCTTTTCTGTGATGTATAAAACTGGTGATGTTCAAAATCTTGGCCATATCAAAAATAATAGCAAGTCAGGGAAAAGGTGTCTGCCATCCAGGGCTTCGGGTAAAGCGAGTCACCTTTCATTCCCATAGGACCCAGACTTGGCTGCAGTCAGCACAACTCCCACACCTTTTCCAGCTGGAACATTTGCGTAATGTCCACCTCGAAATCCTGAATCCTTACAGTCTCCAGTACATCTTCATAACCTGTTGTTCGGGGCCCTTCTGTGACCATGAATGTGGCTTGATGCTTCTTCCACATTTCTACTGAGCCTGCATTCCTCCATCTGCCCCCCAGTGGAGGTGACCGAGGGCCTTCCAGTAAGTGACTCTGAGGTCAAAACTATAGGTATCCCTACTTCTGTACAGGCTGCCGACCAAACCATTCCACTGGGCAGAGCTTCCAGCCTTGGCACTCTTACCTCACCATAGAACTGCTGAGTGTCTCACCGTGTCTGTCACCTGTGAGCCACTTCCCAGACCCACAGCAGGTACATGACCCTTTGATGTGGATCTGTCAGTCTTCCCAGGTTTGGGATCAGAATCATAGCACTAGACCAGGGACACCCCAAAGTGGTGCTCTTGATATATATACATATATATTTTTACTTGAAATTTTTATGGAGATAATTATTATTGGCATTTTGAGCCAGATGGTTCTTTATTGGTGGAGGGAGGCTGGCCTGTACATAATAAAATATTTAGAAGCATTCCAGGCCTCTACCACTATATGCCAATGGCACCTCTATACCAACCAAAAAATGTCCCCAAATGCTCCTGGGTAGGGTGGAAGCAAAGTGTGTCTCCCCCCCTTCCACCTCACCCCGCTCCTCCTCTCACTCCCCCCTCTACAGCTGCGAACCACTGCCCTAGACCTCATGCAGAACAGGTATGTGGAGCTGGGGCTCTGGGGCTTTTCCAGTAGGGGCATGTTCTGGAGGGTTTGTCAAGTGTTCTCAGGCCTGTAAGAAACAGGAAAGACAAGATGTGACCATGAAGAAAGTCACTTGACCCAAGGAAACCACAGAACTTCCCCCCATTCATTTATAGTTGTTTACCCTCACTATCAGATACATCAGATAGCTATCAGATGCGTTAGCAGTTATGATGTAGAAGGAAGCTAGCTCTCCTGCTCCAGCATCTCATGACCTATTGATACACTTTGTCTATATCATCTCAAAGGGTCTCGTTGGATTTGAAACCATAATAAATTTGTTTGCATGTTATGCTGACTTGGGTAGCTCCAGTAAGCCAAGGTTTTTGTTTGTTTTGTGTGTTTTTTGGAAACGCTTTCTTATGTCTCATTTGGCTATTGCCACAGATTCCAGTAAAGTTGTGATGTTTCAGAAATTGTGTCATCATTTCACAGTGTTTTCATCACACTTCATCTCAAAGATTGCCTTTATCCTAACAAGCTCATTTGAATGAACAGTGACTAAGAGGAACCAGGGGGCCTGTGGAGATCTGTCCAGGCACACCACTTTCTTTATGACTGAGGAGCGTAGTCTCCTAATATTCACCGTGGAGTCTGCTTTCATCTTGTAAAAAAAAAAAAAAAAAAGTATTCATTCAAAGAAAAGTCACTGAGGATGGCATTGTGTTCATTACCTTGTGATAGTTACGGACCTGTAAGGCACAACTTCAGTGTTCAAGAGCTCTTTGTCTAATAGTAGAGTCACAATGTGGATAGGCCCCAGCCAGGGTGGCTCAGTGGTTGAGCATCGACCTATAAACTAAGAGGTCACTGGTTTCGTTTCTTGTCAGGGCACATCCAGGTTGCAGACAGTGTGCAGGAGGCAGCCAATCATTCTATCTCTTTTATCAATGTTTCTGTCCTTCTTCCTTCCTCTGTCTCTAAAATCAATGAAAACATATTTAAAAAGCTTTCTTTAATGTGGACAGGAACATTTATAGTACAAGTCAGGGGCTGTAACTTACGTTCCATAAGTGTTCAGAAAAAGGCCACAGGAAAGGAAGGTGGATTCTTGCAGTCCATTGCCTGGCCACATGTGTAAATGGCCTGTAAGCATGCTTCATTTCCCTCTGACAGGGTTGCTATAGACCAGTGGATCTGGGAAATATGGAAGACAAAGAACATCCAGGCTTTACCAAGGCAGTTGGCAACATGACAAATGACAATTTGTCCATTGACCTCATGGGAAGGAAGGTGCAGCATGGGTTTGCTAGTAATTGGTTGACTACAGTTGTGGAGGGGGATTCCTGGTGCTGGGACATCAAGATGTTGGGTCTTAATCCATGTGTGGCTGTCATGAAGCATATGTTGCAGAGTAAAGAACTCAACAGATTTTGATAGACTGAGGCAATGCACTAATTCTAACAAGATGAAATATAGTACAAGAAAATGGAAGGTCTTGTCTTGGATCCAAAATCCCATCTGCACAAGCACAGGAGGAGAGGGGGCCAGGCTTGGCAGCAGATGTTGAGAAAGCATTTTTTCCAGATTTTGTATGTGTTAGGAATCATCTAGCATGCTAGCATACTTGTTTAAAACATAGACCCCAGGTGCTACCCCCAGATTGTCCGATTGAACAAGTTTGAGGTGGGCCCAAGAATCTGCAATGATTAAAGTTTCCTGAGTCGTGCGGACATAGAAGCTCCATGCACCACACTATGCAAACCACTATCTTAGAGGTTTAAGTTAACAGCAGGAGGATTCAGCAGTTGTACTGAGCAAAGGAGAATAAAGGAGAACCCTGTTGTATTGTACTAGGCAGAGCATATATATAAACCTACATTTACTCTTGGCCACAACCTTTTAAGGGACAAACTGTAAACAGGGGGGGCAAGCCAACTCTAGACTAGGTCATGTAAAGAACAGATGAAGGAACTGGAAGTGCTTAGCTCAGGACGTTCAGAGAGAAGGTAGGACAGGAGAAAGATTGTCTGCATCAGGGAACTAAACATGCTTTGTGTGGTTTCTATAGGTGACACTAGAACCAGTGGACAAAGCTGGTCGAGGAATCAATTTTGGCTCAAAATAATGACCATCCTTCTCCAATAGTCAGAGCCATCCACAGACCTGTAGGTGTTCACCCATGGCCTGGAGGACTTGTGTGTGTGTGTGTGTGTGTGTGTGTGTGTGTGTAGGAAATTGGGTAGTGAATGGAAGGGTGCATGTTAAATAGGTGGTAGGATCCAGGGAAGTTTGGTTTTTAGTAAGAGAGAATAGAATAGATATGGGTATCCAAAAAGAAATAGAATGATTAAAGAAAGCTCTGAGAGTAGGGGCAGAAGCACTGTGGGCACATGTGCAGAGAGAGAGAGAAATGCATGAAAGAGTAGGGAATTGGAGGGACCTGGAAGGGTTGGGTTCTAGAGCTCAGGAAATATTTGCATTGGAAGCAAAATAGAATAGGAGAAAGGAAGCCATGGTTAAGGATACAAGGCATTTTATGGTGTAAAGGAAATTACCTAAAGGTAATGCAAAAGGCAAGTTGATTAAGTTCATTCCAATCATGATTTCAAGAAACAAGGGGTTACTTTTTTTTTTTTTTTTTTTTTTTTTTTTGCCCAGAGTTAAGAAAGAGTGTGATTGGTGGGGGCTTGAGGAATGTGGAAAAGGTGTGTAATGACACACCTTTGGAGAATTTGTTGAAGAGTTCAACAGCCACCCATGATTGGCTATTGTAGTGGTCTGCAAACTCATTAGTCAACAGAGCCAAATATCAATAGTACAACGATTGAAATTTCTTTTGAGAGCCAAAATTTTTTAAACTTAAACTTCTTCTAATGCAACTTCTTCAAAATAGACTCGCCCAGGTCGTGGTATTTTGTGGAAGAGCCACACTCAAGGGGCCAAAGAGCTGCATGTGGCTCGGAAGCCACGGTTTGCAGACCACTGCGCTATTGCATTGTAGAACTTTGTAGAGGGTGCAGTCAACTTAAATTCTTTACATCCCCAGCAGTGTTGAGCAACCCAGAGGCCTAAGTCATTTAGGGCAGGAATCAGCATGATGGGCCAGAGAAAGGATCCAGGCACGTAAATTTCAGGCTCACAGAGATTGGTGAATACCAAACTTGACCTGTGAGGGCAATGTGTGTTTTCTGCATCAGAGCCTTTAAACAAGCATCTATCTCCATTAAACTGAGAAACCCCAAACCGTAGTAATACCCACAAGTGCCTGAGATATATGAATTTTATGCTTCATGCTTCCACCTTGGTCTTTGTAGCTTTGGGGCTTAATAATAACCCACCACTTCCAGAACACACACAGCATGGATACCCTGCTGGCTTACAGGGTGTACCCATGCTGTGTGTGTTCTGGAAATGGTGGGTTTTTATTAATCCCCAAAATTTCAACAAGTGTGCAGACCCTGTAACTTATGAAAAAGGGTATAAGCTATGAGGTCTTTTAGATGTTTTCTCCCAATTTTTCTCATTTACTTCCTAGTGGATTTTTAATATATTTATGGAAAATATGACAAGATTGACACAACCTGAAAATTCATTATACCTGTCCTTGCCCTTGAACCTTTTTAATCCAGAAATTTCTTAGATGATACCCAAACCCATGACAGAGATCTGGAAACAGGCCTGTGAAAGCAGAGGTCTTTAGCCTTGACCACTTGCTTCTTCATTGTTTTCTGCATGATCAGCTTTTAAATATTCCATAAATACTGATAGAAACACCTTTTTCATTAAAAAAAAAATGTAGATTTCTTGCAGGGTAAAAAAAAATTTATAAGAGTATTCTTATTATTGCCTAAAATTGTGGGAGAGTGACTTCATTTTTAAGAATGTGGAAAGACTGAAAAGAACCAGGATTGATGCCTTTACTTTTTTTTAGAAAAAAAGGGAAGTTCGTAATATCCTAATCTGGAAATTTACCTGGGGAAAAAAATGATCTCCAAATCACTTCTAGAATAATCTGTAGTGAATGGAGTGTTGGGAGCTTATATCACTTGTCAGAACAAGTCCTGTCAAACTGATTCATTTCCTTCCATGAAAGAGTAACAAGATTTTAGTAGATTGAGGGGAAATGATAAATGTAATCTATATTTCATTTAGCGAGATGCTTGAACCTGCTCCATCCAACACCTTGGTCGATAAATTCAGAAAATTTGGGGAATGGCATTAGCTGTCCAGGGAGCAATGGAGCTCCCATCCTAGGCTCTGAATTTAATGGCACATCCTTTTCGAGAGGCCCAGCAACCGGGGAAAAGTTACCTGAGCTGCTTTAAGAGGAAGCAATGATGCTATCTCACTCCAAAAGGATCCCCGAGTCCTGAAAAAAAAAAAAATGTATTTGATGTGTTTGTCATTTGTGGTTTTGATTATTTAGATAGGCTTGGAAGACTGGTTATGAACATATTCTTTAGAAAATAAAATACGTGCTGGCTGCTCACAATCATTCATATACCCTGATTGCACATCCTTCTGAAAATTCCCCAAGAACTCCCTGACAGAATCAGTTCTCAGGCTTCTCTGTCACCAAAGAGGGGGGAAAATAAGAGGAAACAATAACTCTGAAAGCAAGTGAGATGTGTGGGAATAAATCTGTCATACTCTGTAATTCCAAAAGGGAAATATAACTTCTGGAAATTCTATTCCAGCCTAGGAAAAGTCTGTTGCTAGAAATGGTAAGGATATTAGGTTGATGATTTTCCCCTAGATTTACATATCCCCTCTGTTACAGAGTTCCCCAGCACCTTAATAAGTTATGTCATTTTTAACTATCCATCTTCCCAAGACCCCACCCCCCGAGGAAGTCTGGTGGACGCTTGCATTCCTCATAATTCAGTTATTTTATGGCTGGAATTAGATATATCACATATCCGTATGTAGAGAAAGTTTGTCCTTGTTAATGAATCTGTATCTCATCGCCCCATTCCCCAATATAAATAGATGTAACTCAGAGCCCAATGATACCTAAGAAGAGTATCTTAGATTTAAGGCCTTCTAGCTCAGGAAGTTCTTGTACAATTATTTGATCTTCACACTCCAGCCCAAAAGTGCAGACAAGTCACTGGTATCAGGATACTATTACTCCTTCCCACCATGCATTGAACACGCCAGGTGCCAGGCATTGTGCTAGACACTGTAAATCTACCCGCTCAGCCCTGCGGGGTGTGTACTGTCGCCTCCACTTTACAAGGAGGGAACACGCTCCAAGGATTAAGTGACTCGACTAGCTGGAGGCCATTTGGCTCTTTGTGGCAGAGCTCGGACTACAACCCAAGTATTTAGTGATTTTTTTTTTCTTCTTAAAACTGTCTTGATTCTTCTAGGTAGATAAGGAGCTCTTTCTTATACTTCTTTACTTTTCTATATTTTTAATCTCTTTACTGATTTATATATTTTATATCACATCTCCGGCTGGCGGAGGCATGTTTGTCCTGAGCTACCAATGTCACTTCTCTGAGGTCCTGCCCTGAGAGGATTAGAAAGAGGTTCTGTGCTCTAGGCACCTGCGAAGGGCTTTCTGTTCTGTGGCCATTTGCCCTGAGAAAGAGAGAAGTGTCTGGTAACTGGATTGGGTATTTTTTAAATACCTAAATGATGGAAGGCAATTGCGATTTCATCTTGTATTATTGCTAGGCCACTTTAGCCCAGCCCACAAGCTTGTTGAGATTGTTTCTTTTAAAAGGTTTTTATTTATTTATTTATTTATTTATTTTTTTAAGTGAAGAACCAGAAAGACACTCAGTAGAAGACCTAAAGTTTATTCATTCAGTCATTCAGTCATCCAGTCAGTCATTCAGTCAGGCAGTCTTTGTTAAGCACATATCTTTGCCCAGAATGCTTTTCATCCTGGAATCATTATTAGTAATTCAGTGCTGTCATCATTGTCATCATCATAATCATCAACATTATCATTATCCTCCTCTTCACCAGAGGCATACCACTGAGTACCAATTAGCACGGTGGGCACTCATGGAGATGTGGACAGTGTGTACTCCATATGGTGCGAGATGGGGAAGCAGGTGGGGCAACTCAGAACATGAATACAAATCTATTCGCAAATGCGTGCGCATGTCCATATCGTCACAGGTACGGGGTAGAGAAACAACGGGATCTTACCGATGTTATGTTGGTGCCTGGATAGTTATAAACCAAACCAGGAAGTCTGCCCAGAGAGCTGACTATGAGAAGCAGGGTGATGTCAAGCCCAACACTGAGCCTGGGTCAGGGTCCACATGAGGTGAGCATGAGCTAGACTCAAGGATGAAAAAGAGCTTCCCACATACCCTCCCCCAGATCCCTCCAACATTGAAAGGCCCAGAACCCAGCTGGGTTTTTTGTTTGTTTGTTTTTTGCATAATTCCCACCACCCTCTGTCACCTTTCTCCAGCACGCTGGGACTTAGCTGGACAAACATTGCTAATAATTGGATAGTGTAGAATCCATAACAGAGGCATCTCTAATGCACAGCCAGAGAGTTTGGAGTCTGTGTTCCACCTCATTCTTTTGTACTTTAATTCAGCCAGGGCCCCATAAATATTCATGGAGATGATAAGAGCGACACTGAAACTCCCAACACCACTTTATTTGGATTTCAAACCCACCAAAAAAAAAAAAATCATTTAATTGATCAGCAGAGCTACCTACCTAATTGGCAACTCAAAAGTGTGAGTCCTTGGCCTAAAACATTTGGAAGTTTAAAATTAGAACTTGTACGAAATATTTTAAAAGCTTGTAGAAAGTTCTGGAATCAGCATGTCTGAAGAGGATTAAGATCCCGACATGCCCAAAGAGACACATCTATAACCGGACCTCCTCAGGCAGACCCCCTGCCAACTCTGTATCCTGAGCTGTGAGAAGGTCTCCAGAAGGTAACCTCATCTCTGAATTCTTCCCTCCTGGCTGCCAGGGCCTTGTGAACCAGCACGGAGCTGGAACTGTTTCTCAAGACACAGGAAAGCATCTGCACCCTGAAGAGAAGTGCTATTTTAATGACGATGGCCTCATCTCTAGATTTTTCCAAAGTCTTCCAACCCATTGGGGATTCTGAGCGCACCCTGGTCTCATTCTTGCATGGCCTTCCCATATGACCTTCCACTTGGCTGCCCCACCCCAAACCAAAAGGTGTGTGACCCCAGGATGACAGCCCGAGGAGGGAGGTGGGAACCTTCTGCCCTTGGTCCAAGCCAGTCATTCCCTTTGATTCCCTGAGTGTTTCTACTCTTGGACTAACTACCTTGCAGTCCCCTTCTGAGGCAGAATCCAGGGATACATCTCCACCTTCCTGTAAGGATAAACAGTCGAGGCTCCCATGTCTTTATGGAACGTTTCCTCTAAACTGCATGCTTTGGCTCTGTGCCCACATGCACCAAGAAAGCTTTTCCCAGGCAGCCAAACCCCAGAGCCCTGTCACATAGCTCTGCGTATAGACCGCACTTTGCACAGGCGGGAGGCACCTGCGCTGACTGCTGCTCCCCCTCTCTGCCTGAGGGTCTCCCCCAGCTCACCTTCCAGGGGCCCAGGCCGGAAGGTGAGCTGGGGGAGAAGCCTCTGAGGCCCCTGGCAGAATGAGCAGCAGCAGAAGCAGCAGAAAACAGTCCATGAGCCAATGGCACGCGCTCCCTCCGCACGCAAAAGGCCCAGAGCTGCAGGGACCTACGTTCTGGCTCCAGACAAGAGAGGGCCCGCGGGCCACGCAGAGATGGAAACGTGGGTGGGACACTGGGAGAGAAAAGGCTGGAAATATAAAGAAAGAAGGCATGTTTGACCAAACCCCCCCCCACACACACACACCTAAATCTCCAAGGCCACACTGGGTCAGGAAACTGAGTGCTGGACCCAGCAGCTCTGTTCCACCCGCCCCCATCCTTGGCCTGCAAGGTTCCTAGGACTCCCAGGCCTTTTTTTTTTTTTTTTTTTTTTTTTTTTTTTTTTTTTTAATTTAGAAGGCCCGCATCTATAGAGAAAGAGGAAGTTCATTTTTAAAGCAGAGTGAAGACTCAATGCACAGATCTGAGAGCTTGAAAGAAGAAGAAAGGCTTGTTGAAGGAAAGGGACAAGGGGGCCCAGAAGTGTGTGTCTGTGTGCGTGCATGCGTGCGTGTGTGCATGTGCACACGCCCCTGTTTCCATCCAAGACCATCTATGAGCCTGGCCTCCGAGGAAAAAAGAAAACAAAGGGACGTGTGACAGGAGAAAGAAAGGCAGAGAAATAAACGCGAGAAGGCGTGAGCATGGGGGAGGGGGCCAGGCACTGGTGAGGTGGAGAGGATGGATGCCGGAACGCAGGCAGAGCTGGCCAGGAGGGAGGGAGGCCGCACGTGTGTGTGTGTGTGTGTGTGTGTGTGTGTGTGTGTGTGTGAGAGAGAGAGAGAGAGAGAGAGAGAGAGAGAGAGAGAGAGAGAGAGAGAGAGAATGATGTCAGCATTTCCTTCTGGATCGGTCACGTGGGCCTTTCCAGGTAAACAGACTGGAAATAGACTCTCCATAAAGGCAGCGCCTGCTGGGGGAGGGCGGAGGCGAGGGGGGCGCTTCACCCTTTCCTCTCCGCTGCCTCCCTCCCTAGCAAGCAAAGCGGATCTCATGTTAGCGGCAAGGTGGTCTCTGAGTGGAACTGCGTTTTTTTTGTGTGTTTTTTTACGAGCCCAGGAATATGACTCAGGGAGGGAAAGCTATTTGCTTTTGTAATTAGCTCAAGGAGTTTGAAGACATTTTGATTTTTATAAAGCATGGAGGTGGGCATGGATGTAAATCTGAGCCGGGATGCTGTGAGTGTCTGGGGCGGGGGATGGCTTATTCTCCCTGGTCTCCTTGGGAAGGGGGTCAGATGGGCCTAGATTAAGAATGGATTAGAAAGGCTGCAGTTTAGAATGAAAGGATCAGATGCTGTGATTATCAACATTAGGAAAAAGAAAATGCTAACAGACTCAAGGAGAATATATTAAAGGAGTTTGATACAGCGCAGTATGTGACCGTGATGGCACAGGGAGGGATTGAGACCTCATGAAAGAGATTAGGTGAAAAAAAATAAAGACAAGTTCCTGTGACTTGCAAGCAGAGTTTTGAAAAACTGATATGAAACAGTGCCCAACCGAAACATGGCAGGGACTCCCCGCATTTCAGAATGGCCAAGACATGTCTGGGAAGTCTTCAGAGAGAAAAGCAAAGTGGATGGAACAGCTCAGCCTGGTGGGGGATGGGGGCAAGTATATGACTCTTTCTTCAAATTCCAGGAAACAGAGCCCTTTGCATCTGTGATGACAGCCTATTTAGGTCATTCTTTGAATAATTTTTAATTAAAAAAGATCTACTTCATTTGGTCATC